CATCACGAGCCAAAGTGGATACGGAAGGAGGATGAGGAGGAGGTGGAGGAGAAGGAAGGCGAAGCGGCGAACAATGGTGATGGTGATGATGATGATGATGATGTTGATGTTGATGTTGATGATGATGATGATGATGATGATGATGATGATGATGATGATGATGATGATGATGATGATGATGATGATGATGATGATGATGATGATGATGATGATGATGATGATGATGATGATGATGATGATGATGATGATGATGCGGGGGGGGCGGCGAGGAGGAGGAGCTTGCTTGCTTGCTCACGGCTGAGAAGGAGGAGGAGGAGGAGGAGGAGGAGGAGGAGGAGGAGGAGGAGGGGGAGGAGGAGGAGGAGGAGGAGGAGGAGGGAACGGAGAGGGAGGAGCATGACCCATGACACTAGGGAGGGATCCGAGGATGAGGAGAACTGCAAGTCCAACCGATGATGAGAAGGAGCGCGGAAGGCAGGACCGGGGAGGAAGAGGAGGGGGAAGGAGCAGCAATAGCACGAGGTGGAGGTGGAGGAAGAGAAAGAGGAGCAGAGGAGCATAGTGCACATGGTGGACCTGCTTCAGAGGCGCTTTACGTGGAGAAGCTGCCTCCCGCTGCCCACCACCCTCGCCCCAGGTTCCCTCCACTCCTCCCCCCCCCTCCTCTCACCCCTCCCCCTCCTCGCCGTCACACTCGTCCCTCCCCTCCTCTCCCTTCTAGTTCTATCCCCGACCCCCGATCCCCCCTCCTCCACTTCCCTCCTCTCCCCCCCTCTCATTCCAAATCCCCCTCCCCCTCTCGCCCTCCTCTTCCCCCGATCTCGGCTCGAGAGCCTTGCTGAAGAGCGAGCCCAGACGCCGAGCGCCCCGCGTCCACTTCTTGCCTCGCGAGGCCGCACACGGCCTCTCCCAGACCGTGACAGCTTGGCGTCACCCCTGAACTCCAGCCTGCGCGCGCGCGCCATGGCCCCGAACGGTCCCCGCCGTGGGCGCCTCGATCCTCCGCAGCCCCAGACCAGCCGGCAGGGGCCGCCACACGGCAACCTCACCGGACAGCAGCCTGTCGCGAGAAGGACGCCTGCGCCGCCCACTCTGAGGACCGAAACGCCGCAAACCGCAAATTTGAGCACCGAAACGCTCCAAACAACAATTCGAGCACGGAGCCGGAGCCAATCCTCAAGAATTCTGAGCACCACAACGCTGCAAACAGCAATTTTGAGCACCGAACCGCCGCAAACACCAATCGCACTCCAGGGCAGTGGTGGCGCCGACCGAGCAGTCGCTTCATACAACGAACTGGCTCACAGGCGCACGACGGAACTCGACAGCACAGGCCAACAACACCGCTCAGACCAACACAACCTTAGGGGAGAACTGATGACAATGCATGTGAAACTTAAAATTAGGTCAGGCCCGTCCCCCTACAGGCCGAGTTCAGCCGAAAAAATTAAAAATACGCCGAACATGCTCCAACAATGCTCATAACAATGGTCCAAAAATAGTGGGCCCAGACTACTTTCTGACAATTTTGGAGATTCCCCCTGTAGAGGGACAGGCCCGACTCAAACTTAGAATCGGCTACGCTATGCTCGGGAGCGGCCAAGAGGGGGGTGTCCAAGAGGGGGGGTGCAAATCATGACCGGCGGCATGTGCACGGCCCAGCGGGGGGGCCAGGGACGTCGCAATGAAATAAGAACAAGCGCCATGAAATCTAGGGAAATATCATGGCCCCCGCCATGATATCCACCCCCCCCCTAGTCATCACCCCCCTCTTTGCCGCCCCCGATATGCCCCACCACTCCCGAGCGCACAACAAAAGCGCGCGCGCCAGCCGTGGCCCGCCGGGGCCCACGGCCTCGGCCGAGGCCCGCCAGGGCATCGGGCATCGGCACCGCCCCGCTCACCAGCCTCGGTGCACGAGTACAGTCGGGGCGTTGGCCCAAGGAAGGATCAACGAGGAGCGAGGCCCCTTCTTTCCACAAGTTAAACTTCGGTTCCCCATCGAACACCTAAGGAAAACCTAAGGCGAGCTGCGAAGCAATCAGGGAACACCGAGCCCCTCCCCAACGCAAAGGCTTCCTTCTTCAGCGCCCCGACTGTAGACGAGCGCGCCCCACGACTCGCACAGTGACTACTCGCAAATGGCCTGGATCCCCCGCGGAGGATCTACGATACATTACATCAAAGCAGGCATGCGCTTTTTCAGACGTTTGCGAGTAGGCACTCTGCGAATAGTGGAACGCGCTCGGTGAACAAGACTGAGATGTGCCCCTCGCTATTGCGCCCAACATCTCACCACACACGCTAGAGGAGGGCAACCGCCTCCTGCAGCGAGTCCGCCTTCAGGACAAGCCCCCCGTGCCAGAGCTGTCCTGGTTCTCGTAGACATCCTCATCCCTTTCTCCGTCCAATCCCACGCCGAGCCACATCCAAAGAACGGTGCACCAACTGGGCCGCGCTGAAGTCAAACGCCTCCAGAACGTGGCCCAAGTCGCACTGGACCCCGCGGACAGTGTGATCTGGATCCGCGGAACCATTTGTCGAACGGATGACATCGCCATTATGCCGTCCCTCCGAATGCTTTTCACATGTCAGTTCTCAGGAGCTACACCAATTAACGGCACAGGGCAACCAGGAGGAGCAGGCACGGCCCAATCTTGGGTCAAGTAGCGTCACGAGGCAGCCAAGCGTGACCACGCACGCAAAAAAACATGAAGGCGCCGACGCCTTCACAGCCATGTTCACCTCCCACTTCAGCAAGGTCCCTATCCAGGAGCTAATGAAGATGCTGGGGCGACACGGCACAATGGCAAGGAAGTGGAGTCACGGCAACGTTCAGCATCAGGCGGACTGACGTCCAGACAGTCCTGCCGCCTCGGGGCAGGGAGGTACCCAGTTCGACACCAGCTACCACAGTTCGTAGGGACCTCGACCAAGCGAGTATATCACCGCGCGGTACCAGGACGGCTACCAGGGCACGCTCCACGAGAGCAACCAGGTATTTCAAAAACTGAACGGCTTCGGAGCCGCCCGTGTAGACACGAGAGTCGGCATCCAAATCGAACAACTGAACACAGACATTACCAAAGCCGTGGCCATCGAACTCCGAAGAACCAGCGCGGCGCTGGCCAACGCCAAGTACCGCGTCACAGGCATCGAGCCCCAAAGCGCTACAAAGACTCGGATTGCCAAGGTCCTTGCCTCCCTCAAACGGCACTGTGAAGTCCAAAGGGCACGGTGTGGCAGAACCGCCTCCGGGGAGACTTCACCATCGTCAGAGCGGCAACGGCCCCACCCAACGCCGCAGCACGCATGCAGGGATCGACTGTCCCATGGACCATTTCCTGCTCTTCAACTTCGGCACCGCCTGATCCCAGGGCTTCGCCCTCTCCCGGCCTTGACTTGACGTGAGGCCCCGCCGTCTTTTGCCCTCCCTCTGCTAATTAAAGCTGTGCGCGGCCCGCTTAGCTTTCAGCGGAAGAGGTTCGCTCTCGACCCGCAGATCAAAAAACTGTCCCATGGACCATCGCGCAGGTGGAAGCCATCGCCAACGCGGAACCACCCAAGACACCGATTGCAAATGCCCTCGCCAGACCCCGGGAGACCGTCACAAAACGACTCGCTTGGGCGTCGCGCATCGGGGGGGGGCGGTAGTAATTGAGGGGGCAGCAAGGGCTGCAGCGAAGGTGCCCTTCAGGGCCCCCAGAGGGGCCCTTGAAGACCCCAAAGGGGGCCTTCTTCCTCCTATAGGGGCCCTTGAAGGCCCTTGAAGGTCCAAAACGGGGGCCCTTGAAGGCCCAAGAGGGGTCTGAAAAATTCAACCTTCTCCCCCCCCCCATTCGTCGCCCCCCCCCATTGGAGCGCCCCCCAACTCGGGATGAGAAGCCGACCCCCGGGAAAAGGTGCGGACTTCCAGGGGGACCACGGTACGAATACCAAGCACCGCGCCGGGGGTGCGGGTCTATCCCCGCTCGCCTTGCCTCCCAGCAGCTGCCCCCTCACCTCCTCCTCTCCCCAACCCTCCCCCTGTCTCGAGCGCGGGCAGGCATCGACCTATACCCGCGTCCACTGCAAGACAGACTCGGAGGAGTCGTACAAGGAAGAAGAGACACACTGATAGTGCTCGAATAAGAATACGAAACGAAATGAGAAGATCAGAACACCAAACAAAATAATAATAGTAGTAATAATAGTAATCGTAATAACAATAATAATGCCAATAAGAATACGACTAATAATAATAGTACTAAAATTAATATTACTAATCATGCTAATCAGAATTCTACTACTACTACTACTACTACTACTACTACTACTGCTGCTGCTGCTACTGCTGCTGCTGCTGCTGCTGCTACTACTACTACTACTACTACTACTACTACTACTACTACTACTACTACTACTACTACTACTACTACTACTACTACTACTACTACTACTACTACTACTACTACTACTACTACTACTACTACTACTACTACTACTACTAGTACTACTACTAATAATGGTGATACTAACAAACATACTAATACAACTAATACTAATAATGATAATACTAATAATAACAATACGGATGATAATACACTGAATATCAACAATACTTACTAATAACAGTAATAATGATAATACGAACTGCTAATAATACTAACAGTAACAAGCATACTAACAGCAACAATAACAAAACAAAGACTCGAAGAAAACGATGCAAAAAGGTACAGCAAACACGGGGAGGATGGGCTTCGTCGGTCACCTTCTGCCTCCTCCTTCACGCGTGCCTGAGCCCTTGAGCTTCCCAGGGGAGGTGGCGGCCAAAGCCTGCCAGCGGGAGCGCAGAGGGCACAACAATCATCAATGCGGCGCGCAGACCGCGCTCCTCCTCCTCCTCCCCCTCCTCCTCCTCCTCCTCCTCCTCCTCCTCCTCCTCCTCCCTCCCCCTCCTCCTCCCTCCCCCTCCTCCTCCTCCTCCTCCTCCTCCTCCTCCTCGTGAACCGACCTCTTTTCCTCCCCGCCCCGCGCGACCCCCAACATCCTGTGCCGTCCTCGCCGCCTGGTCGGAACTGCTCGGGAGTGCTGCCGGAATCGCCAGCATCGCTTCGAAGCGCCCCACCGTCGGAAGCGCGTGCGAGAAAGTGCGTCGACTTCCAGCGCGCCTCGCGCTGTCCAGTCCAGGTACATTGTCGACGCCTCTGTACACTGGGATGGCTAGACAGCGGGCTGTGGCCTGAGCGCACCCCAGAGGCAAATCGTGCAGCGGAACCTAGTACAGACCTACCTCAAACGACTATTCGCATCTGAGGACATTCGAATTGCCCGTGCCGTGCGCGTAACCCGAAGAGAAGCAAAGAAATTACCAACTAAGGGTTCTAGAAGCGGGGGACCTGGGATAAATGATGGAGTGTCCATGGCTTGCCAGAACAATTTTCGGTCAGATATGGAATTCGCCAGTGAGTGGACCTCCAGAGCAAATGTCTTCGACAATGTGTCGGACCCGCGGCTGATGCATGCGTTGGGCGAGGTTGTGTCGGGTGGAAGACCTGTGGGGGCCGGATTCCTGGGAGTCAGCTTTCCAACCCAAACGGTTTTTCACTGCCCTGGCATCGCGTTCGGCGAATGCCAGCGATCGGGGGACCCCCGTGGGCCAGCACCAAGGGTCACTCGAGCGCAGGGCCATTCTTGCGTGCAGCCGACGGGATCGGCGTGGCCGCTCCTCTGACAGCAGCAGGCGTGACGCTTGCCATATCCGCGGCCCCAGCGGAGGAGGTCCCGAGCGATGGCCCTGCAGGGCCCGAAAGCGGCCCCTGCGGGGCCGAGGTGGGGGGAAACGCGCCGGAATGGAAGAACCACTCCCTGACTCCGGATCCGCCCTACTTTTGGGAAATTCGTAAGTAGGGCTTGGAATTTCTGCTAACTTTTCAAGCCCCGCTGATGCCAATTTCCGCCCTACCTTTCTGTTTATGTTGCTGTTTCCGCCCTACTTCTGTGGACTTCCGCCCCACTTTATGTCTGGTGCAGAACTTTCCGCCCTACTTTTTTCGGCCTCTCATAGGTGGATTTCCGACGCAACTTTAAGTTGGAAAAAAAGCCAAAGTAGGGCGGGTGTTCGGCCGTTTTCGGCCTCGTGGGGCCCTCGCCGGGCCTCGGGACCGTCAAAAAAGGAGTCAGGATGAAAGCCCGCTCCCAGGGAAAGGGTCAGGACTTCCGGGGACGCTCCCAGGGGATGAAAAGCCGCTCCCAGGGAAAGTAGGGCGCATCTGGAGTCAGGGCTGCCGTCGGAGGCCTGGGCCGACGCCCCCCCCGGCTCACGCGCCGGGCGGCGGCTGCTGGACGCACGGCGGCGACCCGCCAGGGGGCGGGCTCGTGCAGGCCTCCCCGCCCCAGGAGGGAGGGAGGGAGGGAGCGAGGGAGGGAGCGAGGGAGAGGAGAAAAGAGGAGGGAGCGAGGAGGGAACGAGGGAGGAGGGAGCGAGGGAGGGAGGGAGGAGGGAGCGAGAGGAGAAGAGAAGAGAAGACAAGAGGAGGGAGGAGGGGGGGAGCCGGACGTACTGATCCCGAGTGTTGCCGGGACTCTGGCCCCCCAGACCCCCGACGTCATGATTTTTTCATGACGCGACCCCCAGAGGTCCCGACCCACTCCCCGGGACCGGTTTTTCGTCCTGAGTCGTTTTTTGACGGTCCCGAGGCCCAGCGAGGGCCCCCAGAGGCCGAAAATAGCGAAAAACCTCCCGTCGTGATTTTTTCACGACGCGAGGAGGTCTGGGCCTGGAGCCGCGATCACACCCCAGCGTGGCCGAGCGGCCGCCCCGCTGGGCCTATACGGCTGCCGCGCGCCAGCGGTGCCGGACGCCGCCGCGGTGCGGCCCGCCCCCCCCCCCGCGAGGACGAGGCAGGGACGGACCAGAGGGGGGCGGAAGGGCGAAGAGGGCGGGCGGAGAGGGGGGAGGGGGGGCCGCGAGCGAGGGCGGGGAGGGGGCAGGGCAGGGGGCGGGGGGGCGGGGGGGCGGGCAGGGCGAGGACGAGGGGGGGGGGGGACGCCCCTGCGGTCCGAGGCCGGAAAACTGGCGGCAAGCTTCGCGCCAGGATGTGTTCACGAGCCGAGGGGGCCTGGGGATGAGGAGGAGGAGGAGGAGGAGGAGGAGGAGGAGGAGGAGGAGGAGGATAACGGACGAGTGGTGAAGAACCCAAAGCGAACCGATACCGCTACTCCCCGGACCTCGCTCGGAGTTCCTTCTGACCAGGATGTCGAGGCGAGGCCAGCGGTGGCGACGAGGGCCTCCCAGGCGGCCCACAGAGGCGAATGCTAGGAAAAGGCAAGGGTATGGTACCTTCTCCTCCTCTGGCCGACGGCGAGGAGGAGGAGGAGGACGAGGAGGAGGAGGACGAGGAGGAGGAGGAGGAGGAGGGGGAGGAGGATGAGGCGGAGAAGGAGGAGGAGGAGGAGAAGGAGGAGGCGGAGGAGGAGGAGGAGGAGGAGGAGGAGGAGGAGGACGAGGCGGAGGAGGAGGAGGAGGAGGAGGAGGAGGAGGAGGAGGAGGAGGAGGAGAGGCGGAGGCGGAGGAGGAGGAGGAGGAGAGGAGGAGGAGGAGGAGGAGGACGAGGAGGAGGAGGAGGAGGGGCCTCACGCTGCCGCGCGGCGGCACGGCGGCCAGGGCCCACCGGGCGGCGGGCCCGCGCTGGCCTCCCCCGCCCCGGCCGGGGCCCTCTGCGGGAGCGGGCCGCCGCCGCAGAGAGGGAGGAGCCGCCGCGCGCGGGGGGGGGCCGCTCCAGCGGCCCGCACGCCCGCCGCCCCCGCCGCCGCCCCCGCCGCATGCCCGCCGCCCCCGCCGTCGCTCGGGCGCCCACTCCCCGTGCACGTTTGCGGTGTCGCGCGCGCTTTTGTTCTGGCCCGGTGGTCGCCCGGGAGAGGAGGAGGAGGAGGAGGAGGAGGAGGAGGAGGAGGAGGAGGAGGGGGAGGAGGAGGAGGAGGGAGGGGGAGGAGGAGGAGGAGGAGGCGGAGGAGGAGGAGGAGTAGGAGGAGGAGGAGGTGCCCGCCGAGAAAGCGAGAGAGAGAGAGAGAGAGAACAAAAAACAAAAAAACATGCACGCGTCCGAGCGATGGCCCCCCGCCGGAGCCCGCGCGTTCTCTCTTGGAGCCGGCCGCCCCATCCTTTGTTGCATGCCTGGCATGGCCTGTTCTTCGAGCCAGGCCGTCGGCAGCTGTTCGCCGTCAGTCGTCGTCGTCGTCGTCGTCGTCGTCGTCGTCGTCGTCGTCGTCGTCGGTTCGTCGTCATTAACTCCTTCGTCGGTCGTCGTCGTAATTATCCCGCTCGTCGACCGTTGGTCGTCCGTTGTCGTCGTCATCGTCCATTTCAACAACAATAGCATGTCATCGTGCCTGTCATAACCTCTTCTTCGAGCCAAGGAGTGTTCTAATATTGAAGGGGCCCCAGGACACACGAATAAATACACACAAATAAACAGATTCCCCCTTTTTCTAATATTTTCTGGGTTTCTCTCTTCCCCCCCACTTCCCATGTTTTCCCATATCTTCTGGGGAATCGACGATTAACTGTGTCTGTGTGTTTCTTTCCCTCCTGACTGTTCTTCGAGCCAAAGAGTGTTCTGAGATGAAGCATGAGGCTGATCAATCAAACTCGGAAGGTCTCAGCCAGAAGCGTTCTGAGAACATCCCGTGCAGACCGCGAAGAGTGTTCAGGACATTCTCTGGTGGGCCTCCAGGCACGCCGGGACGCTCGGCCACTGCTTGAGTTCTCAGACCCGCGCGTGGCTCAGGCCGACGACTCAGGCATGGTTGCGTCGTGGTGCAAACAACGACGGAACGTTTGAGGCCGTTTTCGCGCTCTGGGGGCCCTCCCCGGCCCCTAGACCATCAGAGAACGACTCGGGGGACGAAAACCGGCCTTGGGGAAAGGGTCGGAACTTTTGGGGACCTGGCAAACAAAAACCCAGACCCCCGACGTCATGATTTTTTCATAACGTCGACCCGCAGAGGCCTCGACCCATTCCCCTGGACCGGCTGTTCATCCCGAGTCGTTGTTCGACGCTCCCGAGGCCTGGTGAAGGCCCCCAAGGGCCGAAAATAGTGGAAAAACTTACAAAAACCTCCCGTCGTGATTTTTTCGCAGCGCGAGGGGGGGCTGGGGATCAAGACATCGCACAGGCCAATCAAGGTATCGCACAGGCCCTCCTCCCATATGCAAATTCGTCCTGCGGGCCCTGGGGCCGCCACGCCGATCTGGCTCGAACCACGCAGGCATGCCGCACAGAGGCAGGGTCTGCGAAGCTCTGGCCACAGCTTCCTGGGACGCCGCATCTCTTCCGCAACGTCGGACCTCGGGGCCACAGGTAAAACGACGCGAAGATCGGGACAACATCGGATCGGGATAACTCGAAATCTCTGAGGGTCGGCGGGTTTGGAGGATGTATTGGGCGCCGCGGCCGCTCCAGAGCGTTCCGGAACGCTCCGAGAGCGCTCCGGAACGCTCTGGAGCGATTTGTCCCGATCCTAGCCTTGTTTTAACAGGGCCACAAGGCCTCAGCTCCGCCCGCCGCGGACCAACCAAAAAACACACATCACGACCGGGGGGGGCGGCGTTTGTCGGGAGACTCCCCATGGGGGGGGATCCCATGGGGGGGGCAGAGAGGATCCCCCCCCTGGGATCCCCTCCTGCCCCCCCATGGGATCCCCAGGGGACCCTATGGGATCCCGCCCCTTGGGATCCTATGGGATCCTATGGGATCCTATCCCCCCATGGGATCCCCCCCCATGGAGAGTCTCCCGAGTTTGGGCTGGCCTCCGTCTCGTGGGGGCCCTCGCCAGGCGGGCCGGAAGGGGCCGTCAGAGAGCGGCTCGGGATGAGGAGCCGGTGCCGCCAGAGCTCCGGGGGGCCACGCGGCGAGAGAAACCACGTGGGAGGCCCCGGGGAGGCAGAGGCAGGAGGAGGAGGAGGTGGAGGCAGAAGGCGAGAGGAGGAGGAGGAGGAGGAGGAGGAGGAGGAGGAGGAGGAGGAGGAGGAGGAGGAGGAGGGGGTGGAGGTGGAGGTGCAGGTAGGAGGCGGAGGAGGTGGAGGCGGAGGAGGAGGTGGAGGCGGAGGCAGGAAAAGGTGGAGGTGGAGGCAGGAGGAGGTAAACATACAAATGTGCCTGGGGGATACGTCAACACCGGGGGTCTCAGATCCTACACTGCTAGAGGCGCCCCTGCGTGAGTGTGTATGTATGTATATATATATATATATATATATATACATATGTGTATATATATAGGTGTATGCGTATGTGTGTGTGTCTGTGCGTATGTATGCATGTAAGTACGTATGATTGCATTAATGCATGCATGTATGCATGTATGTATGTATGCATGTATGCGTGTTTGCGTGCATGCGTGTATGCATGCATGTATGTATGTGTTTATAAGTTCGCATACGTGTGAATGCATGCATGCATGTATGTATGCAAGTCTGTACGCATAGGTTTTTATATGTACACGTGTGTATGCATGTATGTATGCATCCATTCATGCGTGTATGAATGTACATATGCATGTATGGATGCATGCCTGGCTGCATGTATGCGTACGCACACGTATGCATGTATACATGCATGCATTCTTGAATGTAAACAATATGTATGCATGCATGTATGCTTGCATGACTGTAAACATGTATGAGCAGACGTATGCTTAGTTGTATGCATGCTGTGCGTATGCTTGTATGCTGCAACTATGTATGCATGTGGGTGAAGTTTTAGGTGTGTATGTATGTATGTGCATATGCATGTATGCATGCATGCTTGTGTGCCTGCGTGTATTAATGTATGCGTGCATGCATGCATGCATGTATGTACGTATGTATGGTTGTATGTGCGTATGTATGCATGTAGGTATGTATGCATGAGCTCATGCATGAGTGTATGTATCTACGCATCACTGTATGCATGCAACTGTGGATGCGGATGCGTATGTGTATGTGTGCATGTCTGTATGCTGATGTGTGCACGGGTGCATGTCTGTATGCGTGCATTCGTGTATGCTTGTGTCGATGAATCTGTGTATGCATACCCGTATGCATGTATGTATACACGTATGCATGCATGGGTGTGTGCGTGTGTGCGAGGTCGAACTCTGATGACCCCAGGGCCCGCCCGAGGGGCCCCCCTGTCTGGCGAGAGGTGCGGGATTCGCTGCAGGGAGCGAACCCTCTTGACAGGCCCTGAGATCCGACGTCGCGCAAAAAAAAGACACCACGTCGCGAGAAAGGACGACCTGAGCCCTAGACCACATCTGTCTGCTGCACTCTCGGAGCCAGATTGATCTGTGATGGCCCAGGGCCCCAAACTGTGCGAAAACGCCCAGTGTGAAAAAAAGCGACGCCCGGGTCTCAGTGCATCGGTAACTACAGACCTCCCAAATGGGGTCCGAGTAGAAGGGATCGGAGGATCGCGCCGCATCGGTGATGCATCGGCGATGCATCGGCAACGTCGGCGATGGCTTCGGCGCCGTCGGCGTGGAGAAGATTGGGCTCCACATCGAGCCGCGTCGCCGATGCATCGGAGATGTGGCTCGATCCTGCCTTCGACCCCATCCACTCGGACCCCATCTGGGAGGCCTGAGTCCAGCCACTCCAGACCACGGACATCATGATTGTGTCACAACGTCGACCCCCAAATGCCTCGACCCATTCTCTGGGACCGGCTTTCCGTCCTGAATCGTTTTGTTGACGGTCCAGCCCAGCGAAGGCCCCCAACAGCCGCAAAGGGAGGAGAACCTTCCGTCATGCTGTTTTTTTACGATGCGAGAGCTGGCTTTCGGGTGTTGACGCCGCTCTCTGGCGGCCGTTCGTAACGACCTGGGCATCCACGAAAGGCTGTCGGCGAGTCGCAGCCGCTGGAACGCACCCGAGGCTGGAAACACGGCCGAGAGCCCACGAAGCCGCCTGGACCGAAAAAAAGAAATACCTCCCGCCACGATGTGTTTCCTTAGAAGGAAGAAAGCAAACACAGACTCGCACAGCACACATACACACACACCTATACACATATATATATACACACATATGTACACACGATATAGGTATGTAACCCTGAGAAGTATGTAAGAACCCCCGGTTACCTTAGGACCGCTTGAAAAAATCCCGTGGGTGATGAACGATTTCTAGAACCACGCAAACAGAACAACAACAAAACAAACATCCACCCCAGGCTCGTTTTCGCCGTGGCGCCACGCACATTCCCTTAAAAAATTCGCAATCGGTTTCACGGATTGAAGGCAGAACGGTTTCAAAATCTAGCTCTCGCCTCAGCGCCGCGCGCATTCGCCTTCTTAAAGGCGCACGCGTTTCACGGATTGAAGGCGGCGGTTTTTGTTACGAAACAACAATTCTACTTCAGCGCTGCGCGCATTCGCTTTTTAAAAAGTGCACGAGCTTCACAGATTGAGGGCGGCTCGGTTTCAAAATCTAGCTCTCGCCTCAGCGCCGACCATATACTTTGTTCTGAAAATACTGTGAACGCATTTCACGGATTGAGGTCAGCCACTTTTGTTGAATGTAGCTCTCGCCTTAGCACCGCGCGTACTCGTGTTTTCCAGATGTGCACGAGTTTCACGGATTGAGGGCTGCTCGGTTTCAACATTTAGCTCTCGCCTCAGCGCCGCGCGCATTCGGATTTAAAACATGTGCACGA